CACAAAAAAAAAAAAAAAAAAGAGCTCCGCTGTATGTTAATAATGAAAAACTGGTGTGTGATTCAGAAATTTGTTATTGTTAAATATGAAACTTACTGTTTTTTCTATGTTGATTTTATGTCCTGTCACTTTATTGAAGTGTTCATTAAATATAAGAGCTTTCTGTTAAAGTCTAACATATAGAATCATGTTATTTGCAAATAAGGATAATTTGATTTTCTTCTTTTCTTATTTTTATCCATTTATATCTTTCTCTTACCTTATTGTTCTAGTGAACACTTTGAGCTTTATATCAAATTAGAGTGGAGAAAGTGGTTACCCTTATCTCATTCCGGATTTCAGAGGAAATGTTCTCAACTTTACCCTGTTTAATATGATGTTGTCTATAGGTTTTTGGTATATACCTTCATAATTTTGCCTACAAGACTTTTAAGGAATGCATAGTGGACTTTGTCAAATGCCTTTTTTACATCTGTCCTGATTGATGACCATGGGATTTCTGCCCTATAGGGTTTTGTACTCATTGGTTTGCCTATGTTGAACCAACCTTGCATCCCTGGGATGAAACTCACTTGGTCATGATACGTGATCTTCTAAAGGTATTCTTTAGCTTAGTGTGGCAAGTATTTTGTGTGTTCCTGTGTTTATCAAGGAGATTTGCCTCTATTTCCTTCTTGTGTGTCTTTACCTAGTTTGGCTGTCAGGGTAACACTAATTTCATTGATAACTTTCGTAATGTTCCATCCCTTTCAAGTCTGTGAAACTGAGAAGTGTTGGTATTAGATCGTCGTTAAAAGTTTGACAGAATTTGGTAGTGACTCCATCAAGTCCTGGACTTTTCTTTTTCCTTTTTTTTTCTTTCTTTTTTTCTTTTTGATCTTTTTAGGACAGTGTCTCCCTATGGCCCCAGCTGACCTGGAATTCACTCTGTAGACCAGGCCAGTCTAGATCTCACAGAGATCGCCTGCGTCTGCTTCCCATGTGCGGGAATTAAAGGTGTGTGCCACAGGCCCAGCAGTGGGCTTTTCTTTATGAAGACTTATGTAAAGCTTCAATCTCACTGTTTGTAGTGAGTCTGTTTAAATGATTTATATTTTCTCACTTTAATTTTGGTAAGTTTTCTGCATTTAGAAATTGATTCATTTCCTTTAAGTTTTCCAGCATTGGGAAATTAAGCTCTCAAAGTATCCCCTAGTAAACTTCTAGATTACATTGGACAACTCTCTTTCTATATTTAATTTTATTAATTTTGGTCCTGTCTCTTTTTGTTAGTTTGACTAGGAGTTTGTCAGTCTCCTTAATCTTTTTCATAAAAACTCTTTGATTGATCTTATGTATTGTTCTTTTAGTCTCTATTTCATTAATTTCTATTCTAATCTTATTTATTTCTTGTGATGTAATGAGTTTGGGCCTCCTTCTTGTTTTTCTAGAGCGTTAAGGTGAATCATTGGGTGAAATCTCTCTGATTTTTTAAATGAATTTATAGCTAACTTGAAACCTTGCTCTTTGGAGTGCCTAGGCTATGTCCCAGAGGATTGAGTAGGATATGCTTTCCTTTTCATTTGTTTCAGATAATTTTAAATTTTCCTCCCTGATTCTTTCAACAGTTCACTATTTTATCTCTCTTTTATATTTTTAATATTTCCTCTGTGGCCTATGATATGGTAAGCTTTGGAGAAGTTTTATGTGCCACTGAGAAAAGTGTAGATTGTCAATATTATAATACCAAAAGTCATTCAAATTCCTGTGTATCTTTTTGTCTGATTACTTTCAAGCATTTACATTTGATTTGGTATTTCAAGTGTGTTTGTATACTGCCAATGCGTGCCTGATTATTTCTACTTCATAGTTTCCACAGAAAGTCATGCCAAGAAAACATAGGAGGAAAGACAGCATCTTCAACAAACGGTGCTGGGAAAATTGGATCTCCATATGCAAAGGGATGAAATTAGACCTACACTTATCATCTTGCGCAGAAGTCAACTCCAAATGGATCAGGGACCTCAATATGATGACCGAAATGCTGAAGCTGTTAAAAGAAAACATAGGCACTACACTACAAGATATAGGTGCAGGAAAGGACTTCGTAACTAGGTCATCAGTTCCTCAGCTATTAAGGTCAACAATCCACAAATAGGACCTCATTAAACTAAAAAGCTTCTAAACTGTAAAGGAAACAACCATTCAAGTGAAGAGGAAAGAGGGTGGGAGAAAATCCTCACCAGCTACTCATCCAACAGAGGATTAATATTCAGAACATACAAAACGCAGAATATTCAGAACACAAAAAGCAAAGAACCAAGAAATGAAATGACACAATTTAAAAAATAAGCTATGGGCTGGGCATGGTGGTGCACGCCTTTAATCCCAGCACTCGGGAGGCAGAGGCAGGCAGATCTCTGTGAGTTCAAGGCTGGCCCGGTCTACATAGTGAGTTCCAGGACAGCTGGGGCTACAGGGAGACTTTGTCTCAAAAAGACCAAAATAATAAATAAACAAATAAATAAATAAACTAAATGGAGTCACCAAAACCCAGTGACTGTTTTTTGGAGAAGTTTCCTTTATTCATATGAACTGTGTAATTTGACTGACAAATATCAACTTGAAAATGAAAAGATGTATAGACAAGTTCATCTAGGTATTTGACCTATATTTTATAAAGCATGTATGTAATTAAAATATCTAGATGATGTAGTTATTTTATTTTTTTTCCTGTGGACACAGTTTATGCTATAAATAAAATGTCTGCTGGGCGTGGTGGTGCATGCCTTTAATCCCAGCACTCAGGAGGCAGAAGCAGGCGGATCTCTGTGAGTTCAAGGCCACCCTGGTCTACATAGTGAGTTCCAGGACAGCTGGGGTTGCAGGGTGACCCTATCTCAAAAAGGACCAAAAAAATGAGCTATGAATCCAAACAGAGAGTTATCAAAATGAAAAAAAAAAAAAAACAAAAGAAATAATAATGGCTAAGGAACACCTTAAGAAGTGTTCAACATCCTTAGTAATTAGGGAAATGCAAATTGAAACCACTTTAATATTTTATCTAAGCCCAATCAGACTGGCTAAGACCAAGAGAACAAATGACTGCAAATACTGACATGGATGCAGGGAAAGGGGACCCTTCATCCAGTGCTGGGATCACAAACTGGTAGAAC